ATTTGGTCTTGACCATTTCACAATTTGTTTCTTGTATTGCTTATTTGCTTAGGCTTATCCATGTTTCATTGGACATATTCTTTATTACCCATGTCGTACTCCACTCCACTCCATAATCTTTATCATTTAATGATGTAACTTTTACACTGTGTAGATAGAAACATGCATGTCAAAATGTGATTGACAACAAGTGTACTAAGTGCTGAATTATAATTTAGTTCAGACTTTAAGTATATATTCTATTTATATTTAGCAATTAATGACAGTAGTCAACAATCAAGGTTGTGAACAAATAGTTTAGGTGTAATGTTTTGAGGTGTTAGTATCATATAAGTACATAAAATAATAATAATAATAATAATAATAATTTACCGCATTTAAGAAGTACTTGTATGTGTTAAATTTTCAAGCTACGTAGTATTAATTTAAGCTCACTAAAACTTTTAGTTTACAGTTTAGTAATTGAATGGAATTTGTATTAAAATTATTGGTTAATTGCATACAATGCTATCTTATGGAGATTGTTTTATAGGATGATGATACTCATTTGTGTCTTAATATATAGTATCAATAGAAAGATTAGTACCAAGATTCACGTGAGTCAGCAAACCCTTCATGGTATATTCAAATGTAATTTTACACCCGGCCTCCAGAGATTGTTTTATACAATGTTACTCATTTACGTCTTAATAGTATCAGTAGAAAGATGAGTACAGCAAAACCTCCATAATTTATCCAAGTATAATTTTACATTTTACTAATTCCCCTAACATTTATTGTGGCAATAGAAACATAATACAGTATATAAAAGTAATAATAAAACCAAGATTTGTTTTAAGATTGCAACAATAATAATAAATTAAATTCTTCTTGAATAGTGGATAAGAGTAAGAGTTCTGAATTCTGATACATACCCTATATCATTATTTTATATTAATTAGATTAAATTAATATCCTCAAAAAAATAAATATAAAATTGATTAATTAAAATAAAATAATAGACCTTTCCCAAAATTATTCACAATTTTTATTTTGCATGGCTCTTCGATTTGGTCTAACCATTTGTAGTTTCCAGTTGAAATTTTCTCCATTCATCTTATGCACATTATAAGGACTATAATTAAATAATGCATGCATGGCTAATTGGGACCAAAGTAAATACTTGTATAAGTAATATTGACCATAACAATTAACAAGGGAAGGCATGCATATGCTATTCTTCACTACGTATCTCTTATTGAAATGACTTGAATTTCTCAACTACTTACTTACTTAGCAATGGGTATGTTAAATACATATGAGATATACTCAGTTTCGTAATATATTAAATAAAATATGTATATTATTTTGAAGCTGAATTAACTATTTGTTACGAATTTACGATAGTATGTAGTTGGTAACTTGGTACGGAATATAAGACTTGCAAAAGTATGTGCCAACTAACTATCAATTTTTTTGGGTTAATTGTGCTCAAATTAAACCATCAACTATTAGCCTAATTTTGCACATATTACATTATTATTACTAAATTAGTATGCCTATTTAGTACACCATTTTAAGTCACCCTCATGCAGCTCGTATATAATAACATGTTTACAAAGTAAAATTTTATGTAATTTATGATTAATTCTTAACATTTAATATAACAGCACACTGGTTTTACCCAAGTAGGAGAAAATATTGAAATACACGTTTTGACTTTAACACTATTCACACACTCTCCTTTGACCATGTTTTGAGCTTTATACGTAATGAAAAATATAGTCGTGTGGGATCTTATTAGGATTCGTCACGATATATATTTTCAAAATATCAAATTTTAATAATTTTTACTTATCGATAATTAAAGATATTAATAGTTGAATTTTTGCATTGAGAAACGTGACTAAAAAAACGTGTCAATTAAAAAGAAGCGGAGGAGGTATTATGATAATGTAATAGTGTTGTACTACAAAACACTTAGCACTAGGCACACGTCAAATTAGCTAGGAAGTACTAGCATTTAAGATCTAATATAAGTAATCCGTACTTAATATTAAATAAAATCAAATTAGAAATATGAAGTATGTTTAGTGATTTTTAGATGCATAAAAAGCTGCTCTTCAATTCTAAAAAGCTTGACCAAACACTTTACGCACCAAAATGTATAGGATTAATTAGCTGTTTATTTATCCAGCTGTTAGTTGCCGGATCTTGGCTTTGCTTTACTTAACCACCACAGCTAGACTAGCTAACAATAAGCCAGCCATAGCCAACGGTAACATGAATTGCTAATTTATATTTTATAGCCCATAAATTAATTATAACCTTTAGTTTTTTTTTTTTTTTTTCTTCTATTTTTCCAACCTAACTTTTGACCTTAATTTACTAAATAAATAATGTTACTAAGCGTTACTTTCATAGAACAATATATGTCTTGTATCATCATGTTCGTCTTCTAGCGAAAGATCCATGACATCCATGATCCATCCACTCCCTAGCTAGGTAACACCGCAATTTTTGCAACTTATTGGTTTTGAAATTCTTTGCATTGTTTAGTTGAATTGTAATGTACAAATGTGTACCATTTCCATTGGTTTTCTTAGTAGAGTGATCGAGCAATTAGAAATGTTTCAATGTAGACCAAGTAGAAAAATATTTTATAGAATAAATAGACTATATTGTTATTTAAGTCGTGCCAAAATAGTATATAATGTCTATATACACCCAATTTAAAGAATATATACTCGTATATAAAATTACACTTCTAGTATCTATGCAACATAACAAAATAGCGGCTAGTATTTATATAATAACTAGGTTAGGTCCCGTGTCATGCATGGTAATTTTCAATAACTACTCTATAGTTATTAACATTATATTTAATTATGAAAAAAAATCTATTTGAGTTACTACTTTGTGAAATGAATTAATTATGAAAGAGTCTATTATTAGCAAAATAGATAATTTAAAATACACATATATGTATATATATATATTTCACTAACTAATTTATATCATTTCTTCTTTTAGCCAAATGAATATCTTACAACTATGTATCTAATTCGTAAATAGATTTACTTTTTAGTTTTTACACACTATTAATCCATTCCCTCTTACGCGGTATTTATTTTTCTTCTCAATAATCAACGGGCTTAGAAAAAAATTCATATCTTTCCTAGCAAGCTTTTCAAACATAATTAAATACACAAATATTTTAAAAAAAAATAATCCTTGTTGTAAAAATGGTAAGAGTAGTATATAGCACTATATATGTAACAAGTTAGGTTAAGAATTTGATTTTCATTTTTTTAACTTTAGCTTATGGTATCAATATATATAGTGCAAGGATACATTAAATCTTTTTAATATTCTATTTATATATAAAATTTGTTTCCTAAATATTTTTTTTTTAACACACCAGAAAATGACACGTGTCATTGCTTGTGTGTCTTTTAGTATATAGTTATTATTTCATTTATAACTTTTGTGGTTGTGATATTTTCAAAAGGAAATAAATATGAGGCTTTATAGTGTATGCATAGATTATGCTAGGAATAGTATAAATGTGTATGTAGGAGTATCCAAATTATAATTTGACAAATTGTTTATGTACGTTGAATTTAAATGAATCCTACTTGAAGCTTTTGTTGTCGTTCATATTTGGCATATGTGCTACAACTCTACAAGTATATATCTTGCTAGCTATCAGCATACTTTAAGGAGGAATGAAGGGTTAAGCTATGATAGCATCAACCTCCATTTACATGCCCACTTCGAGGAAAAAAGTGTTTTATCTTTTTTGTATAGGATTCCAAGCGATTTAGCATTATTATGTACTGTTCTTGCTACTAAGCAACCATGGTAAAAGTGTTGGCACAAATTATAAGATTTTAGAAAAAAGTTTAGGTTGGAATTTAAATTAGTAAAATAAAATTTTGATAAATTCAGATAAGATAAGATAAGACGATAAAAGTTATTACGTTTTATCAAATTAAAGTCTAATAAAGTTCGATTGATAAGTTTAATGAGATAAGATAAAGACTGAGATCAAATAAACTCAAAACTAATATAATATATGATCAGTTAAAAACACAAAGCCTAAATTAGATAAAATCATATTTTTGGATTTAATGAACTTACATGTTATAGCATGATTAAAAGTCACTAAATAAATAACAATCACAAGTTTCCCAACACAATGCTTTTTTCTTTCTCATCCAAGATTTCTAAACTCATTTCGTAACTTATGATACATATGAAAGAATTGAAAATACCATAACAAGCAATACGAGCACTTGATCTTTCATCATTAATGAAAAGCGTACTTCTATTCGTTAGTGATCTCTAAGTTCATGACATAATGCAAATGAATTATGCGCCAACACAAAACAATTACTTCGAACTCGTAAGAGTTGCACACGCATGATGTACGCACCAACACCATTATGAATTTAAGGATGGCTTAATTACAATTGATTGATAACAATAGAATGCACCAAATAAGTTTCAACTTAGACCGTGTTTAATTCATCTTATTTTTGCTTATTTGAACTTATCTAATTTGTAAGGAAAAAATATACCAAGTGGGATCTTGTTAGATTCGTAATAATGTGTATTTCATTAATATGTAATTTTCATAATTTTTTTCATTACGAAATTAAAGATATTTAACAATAAAAAATTGTACAAAAAACAATTATATAATATGATCTGAAGTTATTTTTTCTGAAAAAATAAAAATAAGTTGAACTAAAATAGGCCTTAATTACAACTAACATACAACATCACCAATATTTCTATAGTATGAAATGGATCCATCAATTATAACACCGGATAAGATAACAAAATAAATCAAAGAAAGAAAAGATCATCAAATCAATAAAATGAAAATTTCCGCTTAAACGCGTTGAACAATGAGAAAACAAAAAAACACGGCAGTGTAAGTTGTACAACTATTATTACCACATCTATAATCAACAAAGAAATTAGGCTAAACTATATTACTAGAGTGAAAACCGGAAAATATATGCGTGGGCCACCGTGTGGGTCCCACATTTTATTTATTTCCTCTCTCCTCAGTCCTCCCATGTGCAGTGTGAAAAACCCTCCCCACCCTCTCTCTCCTCTGTAAAAGCAACACACTCAGCAACTTAAACTCAAATTCTCATTTTCTCTCTCTTCTTCCACTTTTCTCTCTCTCTACTAAACTCTTCTTCTACAATGTCGTCGCCGGCGCCGGCGACGTCTCCTCCCGTCACTAACACCACCACTCCTCCGCCGGCACCTTCCACTACTCCGCCACCAACCGCCGCTCCTCCTCCTACTACTACGCCTACCCCTTCTCCTCCTGCTCCTCCGCCGTCTACTCCGGCGACTTCTCCTCCTCCGTCGTCGTCAACTCCGGCGACTTCTCCACCTCCGACGTCGCCGACTTCTCCTCCTCCTACGACGTCGTCTCCTGCTCCCCCTACTGATACCCCTTCACCCCCTGCTCCCCCCGGTGAAACCCCTTCTCCTCCTTCACCTCCTTCCGGCGGTGGCGGTGGCAGGTCGTCTCCTACTTCGCCTTCTGGTGGTGGGTCACCTTCACCTCCTTCGCGGTCTTCTACATCGGGATCAACTCCTTCTTCGGGCTCATCACCGGGCTCAAGTTCGGGTTCGGGTTCGGATTCTGGTGGGGGTAATGGGATATCGACGGGGACGGTAGTAGGGATAGCAATTGCAGGAGTGGTGGTACTGGTGATTTTGAGTATAATTTGTGTGTGTTGTGCTAAAAAGAAGAAGAAGAGAAGAAGAGATGAATATGGTGGTGAAGGTTATTATATTCCTCCTCCACCTCCTCATGCTCCCATTGGTCCTAAAGGTATTATTTCTTTGATTTCTTGGTTTGTTTTGTTTAATTTGATTTAATTTGGGTTGTATTTGGTTGAATTCTTTGATTGGATCTTTTGACGAACATTTCTATTTTGGGTGTAGTTTGAGTTTAATTCATTTGATTTTGAAGGGTGTTTATTTGGTTTTTGATTTGGGGAATATGGTAATGTTTGTAGATTGGATTGGATTAGATCTGGATGTATTGATTTTGAGTGTTTGTATGTAAATGCATGTTTATTGTTTTTTCCTAGATTAAGTTTTATGATTTGGTATGATCTTTAGGTGCATTTATGGTGTTGTTTTTTTATTGTGATGTTGTGTTGTTAATGTTAGATGGTCCATATGCTGTTCAAGCACAGCAGTGGCAGCAGAATTATCCTCCACCAGTTGAGCATTATCAGGTGCCGAAACCCCCTCCACCGCCTGCGGCCCCGCAACGGCCGCCTAGACCTCCTTCTCCCCAACCCCCACCGCCACCGCCACCGCCTGCACCGTTTATGAGTAGTGGTGGAGGTTCAGGATCCAGCTTCGGGTCTGAATACCCACTTCCACCGCCTTCCCCTGGACTTTCACTCGGGTTTGTAAAGAGTCCCTTCTCTTATGAGGAGTTGGCAATGGCTACTAATGGGTTCTCCGAGGACAACCTCCTGGGTCAAGGTGGTTTTGGGTATGTCCACAAGGGTATCCTTCCTAATGGTAAGGAGGTTGCTGTTAAGTCTCTTAAAGCTGGTAGTGGACAGGGAGAGCGCGAATTCCAGGCAGAAGTTGAAATCATCAGCCGAGTCCATCACAAACATCTTGTTTCTTTGGTTGGATATTGCATTACTGGTGCACATAGGTTGCTGGTTTACGAGTTCGTACCAAACGGTACCATGGAGTTCCATCTTCATGGTAAGCTTATTTCCTTTAGTTCTCTGCTTTAATGTGTCTGCATTGTCTCTCTTTAATTGTACTCACTGCCAGCATTGGTATAACACTTCTTTTGGCTTCTATGCTTATAATTAATGATTGGCATTGATCTGATTGAAATTTCAAATTGTCTCATTGCAGGTAAAGGACAGCCTACCATGGAATGGCCTACAAGACTGAGGATTGCCCTTGGAGCTGCAAAGGGGTTGGCATATTTGCACGAGGATTGTGAGTTATCTTGTATCAATAGCTTTTTCCTTGTGTACCAGTGCTGACAGTCAACTACAAAGTTTATTGATTCTATGCTGTCTGTTTCTGTAGGCCATCCGAAAATTATTCATCGGGATATTAAAGCTGCTAATATTCTTCTGGATAACAAGTTCGAGGCAATGGTGAGTTTGCATTATTAATAATTCAATTTGGCCATTGGGTTGATTTTCCACTTGACCAATACTCTCTTCTCCGAGCATTAGCATACCTGTAGTCACTACTCCAGAGCTCACTCGATTTTTCCCTGCTCGGAAAAACTTCTGCAATTTAATCACAAATTGTTATTTAAATTTTTGTTATCATGAATTTTACTTACTATGCTCTATCTTTCATTTATTCAGGTTGCAGATTTTGGACTGGCAAAGTTATCTTCAGATGTTAATACTCATATATCCACTCGTGTGATGGGAACCTTTGGGTATGTTATACTTACATCCTTGCATCTTCTGCTCTTTGTAGATACCACTGCTAGTAAATTATTTAAGGATGGAATATTGCATTGCACAATTCCTTTCATATCCTTGTGTATGCATGTACTAAATGTTGAATTCTCTGACTCGTCATTGCATCAAGTTGGAACAAGTGCTTACTGGGCTTCGTGTATGTATGTCATTTTCAGATACCTGGCCCCTGAGTACGCTTCAAGTGGGAAACTTACAGATAAATCTGATGTTTTCTCCTTTGGAGTAATGCTTCTGGAATTGATTACTGGGCGACGGCCTGTTGACCCTACAAATGCTTACATGGATGACAGTTTAGTTGATTGGGTATGCAGTTTCTCCATACATTGAGCTTCTTACTGGATTCATCTTGTTACCTATGAAACTGTTGTTGCCTATGAAATTGATGAGATAGATCAGAGAAGTAATAAGCCTTATCTGTTGTCTGCAGGCAAGACCTTTGCTGACAAGAGCTCTGGAAGAAAATAACTTTGATTCTCTTGTTGATCCGCATCTGCAAAACAATTATAACCCCAATGAAATGGCCCGCATGGTCGCCTGTGCTGCTGCTTCTGTCCGTCACTCGGCACGACGCCGACCTCGAATGAGCCAGGTAAACAGATAATACTCTTCAACGGAAGGCAACTAAATTTTACATGCAAAGTTTTGAGAAGCCGTGCATTTTATATAGAAAGACTTGTTAAAAAAATTGGAACTAAGGCAATTAATGAGCTTGATGAGACTGCTGAATTGGTGACCTAATCTTCAATTCAAATTGTTTAGGAGATGATTTCTATTTAGAGTTTTATGTTAGACTATTTGTTAAACTATTTAGGAGATGAATCCTTATTGACCTAATCTAGGAACATATCTCAGATCCATCGTTTAATTTATTATTACCCACATCTTGCGACCTGGTATTGCTGCCAAGTGCTGACATGCAATACTTTACGCCTTTGCATTAGTTATTGATTAATCTGGCAATGAAAATTTTAAAATTCACAAATTCTGTGAACTTGACATTTGGGCAAGATTATGGATACTTAGTATTCTAGACAGGCAGACAGCAGCTCTCCACCTTACCAAAAGGGGATAATAACATGAGTAATCCTCAAGGACAAAGACTTCTAGAGTGCATTTGATGATTTGGTAGACTTTTCGCATTACTTAATGTATGTGGATTGTGAGTATGAATGATTCATGACAGTTGCTTGTAGAGTTTGTACTGAATGGGCTTGAAAGCAAATTGTAAGCAAGTGGGAAACATAACTTGACATTATCAAACTGTAATTGTTGAGTTCCTCTGTTGACATAATTAATTGGCATTTTGTAAGCAATACCATACATTTGCTGGGCTTCTTGTTTTATACACATAATTCTATCGTAATTTTTTTTTCAAAAGATAAAATAAAAATTGAGCTCGTTCTTTGTCCTCATAAAAAGTAGGGCATGATGATTCTGATTAATAATTTTTACCTGACATGAGCAGGTTGTTAGAGCTTTGGAAGGAGAAGTGTCTCTATCAGATCTAAATGAAGGAATAAGACCTGGACACAGTTCAATCTACAGCTCCTACGGAAGCTCAGATTATGATACCTCCCAATACAAGGATGACATGAAGAAATTCAGACAGATGGCTCTTCAAAGCACCGAGTATGGCAGCAGCGAGTATGGTGGGACAACCAGCGAGTATGGCATGTACCCATCTGGTTCAAGTAGTGAAGCCCAAAGTCGCCAAACGACCCGAGAGATGAAAGGAGATAGTAAAGGTTTCAGCGAAGGTCAAAGCCGCCCAACTACTCGAGAGATGGAGATGGGAAAGATGAAAGGAGATAGTAGAGGTTTTAGTGGAAGCTCTTGATGCAAAGATTCTTGCATCATTTCTTCCTGTAAAGAAAAACCCTGATGTGAAAAGGAAAATTAATTGTTTTATATATTAGATTGCGAGTGACGTGATTCTAACACAATTTTTTCGTTTTTTTTTGGCATTCTTTTACCTTGCAGTGGAATTATTGGTTTTCACCTCAATGTATTTACTATTGCTTTTACAGAGAGAGAACATACTACATATTGGGCAATTCTTTTGTATAATGATTTTGGTTTCGTTGAGCTCAATTGTGAATATTACTATGACATCTTCATATGACATTGTTTTCAGTGGCCATTGTAACGATCATGAACACCATGAGAAGTTTCATTAAAGGTAAATAATACAAGCGGACTTTGATTTCAAATTTTGAATACCATCCAAAACGGACCTAAGCTTTGACCAACTATCTAATTTGACATCCACATGCAAACAAGACCCCTTGAGGCCATTAACACGGTTACATTCACATTGAGTCGTATTCTCATAGAAATTTGATGCCTTAGCCTTAACATTGATATTGTGATTCGTATGCAACTGTTTTAGTTGCAACAGTTTGACTAATGGAGGAAGTAATTGATAAACCAAAAAGACTATGTAGACATGTACTCGGCAAATTCCTTCAAGTATGGTTACAACTTTAATAGCCCATACGGCCACACTCCTTAAATCATTGAACCAAAGCCCATACTTCAGTCTTATAAACATTAATAATGGTGGTTTTCTAGTCTAGAGTTCTAGACTTCTAGGCCATGGGGTTTTCTGAGCGATTGCCTAAGCCCTAAATGGCAGTTGTTTTAATTAGCCCATCAATTTCAATTAAACATACCTCATTAAGTCATTACTCATTAGTCATTATCTTGACTATTAAGGGCTTGAATTTATTTATTTTTGGACAATAACTATTGTTGGAGTGACTTACTCTTTGAACAACACCTTTTCACACACGATTATAAATCGATCTTATTCAAGACTTGTTCTCTTATTGCGTTTATTAGAACATGTACAATTAATTAAGTAGATGTAGTTGAATGTACTTGGTAAAAAGTCTCATCTTTCTCAATTTGCACTTGTTTAAGTTATGTCTATAATTATTGATGTATGTAGTTTTGTTTGGATAAGTAGGTAACAACTATGCAAGTGCTTTAAAAGCAATGAATTGAGAAGTGACAATATAATATTGAACTAAGCAACTAACCTAAGTGCATTCAAACTAATCAGGATTAATCAAAGCTAATAAACTCAATTAAGGTGTAAGCAAATGATGAAATTAAGGCTAAACGAGTAGGGATGTCAATGGGGTGAATCAGTAGGGCGGAGATGGGTCCTAATTTGGCGGGTGGTGGGGCGAAAATGGGGATAAAAACTTATAAATGACCAAATAGCAGGACACTAACCAAACTCACCGCAACACTATACCGTTGATGTTGCAACTAGCCAACTTCCACACTTTCCCTCTTCTTTCTGGAAAAAAACCGCCAAATTTCCTCGACAATTTTCTCTCTCCTACTCTGCTACATCAACATGAACATCACCTTAATAGAATCACCAGATGAAATCACCGATTCCGATGGAGCGAGCAATTGGCATTGCGAGGAGAGAGAGATTCAATTAGGGATTGACCGCTTGAGGCAGCAATTGAAGAAGGTAAGCTGGTATAATTTAAACCTAGAATTGATTGATTATGCTTGCACATTTACGCTATTTTTTTTTTCCTTCATATATTATATGCTTCGATTTAATATCATTGTTTATTTTAAGCTATTTCAATATGAATTTGGGGTGGTATGATAATAATAATAATAATCAGATTCCGCAATTTGAATTTGTCAGGCATTTATTTGATTTCTATACGATTATTCGAATTTAAGTTATTCCAACATGAATTAGGGTTGGTATAGTCATGGGAGTCACTATTGATATACTGGAGGGCACGAATATATGATATAGTTTTGATTTCTTAATTTTATTACTTGTATGAATTTGAGTTGGTAATGATTATAGAAGAGAGAGAGATGAAGAAGAAATCATAAAAAATGGGGAGTTGAATTGATATTCTAGTTGACTTCCGAGTTGCCAGACTAATTATTTCAGGAGTTTAGTAAACATCCAGAATAATTGTGATTTATTCAATTTATGATCTGGGGTTTTTGGTTTTATTATTGTATATTTACATGTGTATGAATAAATAAAACTCGGCCGTTCGAAGACGGTGGCTTGATCGGGTGACTTGGTCTTGAATGTTAATTGAAGGTGTGGAAACAGCTTTATCTAGCTAGCTAATTCATGACATGCAAGGATGTTTTGAGGTTTTTATTTGTTTAATGATATGGGTAAGACACTAGGACTTGTTCAGATATAACATAGTGAGCACGTTTTGGTTACTGAGATGGTATGTCTAAGTAAATAGTTGATTAATTTATACAATAAGTGTCTGGGAATTGGAAAATAAGGGGGAAGCCTGCATAATGATGCTGATGTTTGAAAAAACTGTAAGAGAATCAAATTGATTCATTGTTCTCTATTCAAGAGGAAGGCAAAGGTGTTTCATTCTCTTCTCTTCTTTTTCCTGTTTGACATTGCTGGAACAAGATAGTTTTGATTAGATTAAGAAATGTCATCGCCAACACCAGCTATTATCGAAGCCCCGCCAACACCTCCACCTGTTGACCCACCACCCCCGCCTGTAGATGTTCCGGACGTCCCACCACCAGTTCCGGACGTCCCACCACCAGTTCCGGACGTCCCACCACCAGTTCCGGACGTCCCACCACCAGTTCCGGACGTCCCACCACCAGTTCCGGACGTCCAACCACCAGTTGCTCCGGAGGTCCCTCCAACTCCAATTCCATCCCCTCCTCTTCCAACCCCACCACAAACTCCGCCTCCTACACCTCCTACCCCAGCTCCCCAGCCTCCACCTCCAAGTCCATCACCTCCACCTCCAACTCCAAGCCCGTCACCTCCACCTCCAACTCCTAGTCCGTCACCTCCACCTCCAACTCCTAGTCCGTCACCTCCACCTCCAACTCCTAGTCCATCACCTCCACCTCCAACTCCAACTCCAACTCCAAGCCCGTCACCTCCAACTCCAAGTCCGTCACCTCCACCACCAGCTCTAACTCCAAGCCCGTCACCTCCACCTCCAAGCCCTTCTCCTCCCCCTCCCCCACCTACAAGCACTGCACCTTCCCCAATTACACCACCAACTCCAATTTTTAGCCCACCTCCATCATCAACACCTGAAACTCCATCCCTGTCTCCCCCAATTATATCTCAAAGCCCTCCATCTCCTAGTTTGAATCCATCAAAGCCTCCACCGTCTTCACCAGCTATTCCTCCTCCACCTAGCTCATCAACCCATAGACAAACTGGTCTTATTGTAGGTGTCGCAATAGGGGGTGTGATAGTACTGGCTGTGTTTGGCCTGCTGTGGATGCTCTTTGCTAGGAGGAAGAAAAGGCAGGATTCACATGGAGGAGAGGGATATTACTTACCTACAGGTTTGTGTCTATATTATATGGTTACAAATCTTACAGTACGCCTTATTCCTCTTTCGAATCTTGATAATTCCTAATAATATTTATTGGATTGTCGATTCTTATGGTTTGTCATTGGCTAAGGTCGTCCTTGCTGTTTTATTATTATTGGGGGTGAAATTCTGAATTGAGACTTTAGTTAAGCATTTGAACTAGAGTAATGAAAATTCTGCAATATCATATGAGCTCCATGACAAAGGTTTCAAAATAGTATAGAATGTTTCAAAAATGTATATATCGATTGTATCCTATCTTTTCAGTTCTATATGAGTTCTGCAGTTCATTTTAATAATACGCAATTATTTTGATTGGAATTTTTTTTATCCCAACAGAAACTTAAGTAGGTCTTCTGCAGTTCCTTAATATAGATAAAAGAAACCTCTTTTCGTATTTAATAGCTTAAGATCATTTATTCTTTTGTAGGCCTTTACAATGTAAGAGTGATTTTTCCTCCTATTTACTGCTAAATTTGAAGAAAAAAAAAAAGTTGATTAATCTCAATGAGTTAAAAAGTTTTGTATTTCACATGCTATTATTCCATCTTCATGATATTACAAAATAAGTTGTAGGATTGGGGTGTTAAAAAATAGTATGGGAAAAAAGCCAACATATAGTTAAAATGGCATGTTTCTCTTGATTCACTTACGTCTTGATTAACTTTACAATAATTTACTACTTGTTGGAAAGATTGTTGTACGTTTCTTAGCAACCATTTACTTCTTTTTCTCACATCAATAGTTGCATTGAAACCTATGCTTATACTCTTCCAGGAAGAGGATTAAGACTGAAAATTTTATTGTGCTACTCTTGCTGATTTTATTGTATATTATACATATATATTTGATAGATGGATTTTATCAAGGGCCAGCACAACCTGGGCAACATAGTAATCCCCAGTCAACTGAACATTATTCGATGTCCAAGCCATCTTCTATAACACTGGCTGCTGTACCATCGAGATCGAATTCTTCAACAGCTCAACCAATTTCTACAAACGGCAGTGGATCTTTCTGGTCTCCCAGTTCTGGGCCTGAGAACTCAATTCCACCATCTTCGCAGGGCATGGTGTTAGGAAATTCATCGAGTTCCTTTTCTTATGAAGAGCTTTCTGTTGCTACCGATGGCTTTGCGAGCAAAAATCTCCTTGGACAAGGTGGTTTTGGATATGTCCATAAAGGAATCCTTCCAAATGGGAAAATAGTAGCTGTCAAATCACTCAAAGCTGATAGTGGGCAGGGAGAGCGTGAATTTCAGGCTGAAGTGGAGACTATTAGCCGAGTGCACCACAAACATCTTGTGTCATTGGTTGGATACTGTGTCACTGGTCCCCAGAAATTGCTGGTTTATGAATTTCTTCCAAATAAAACCATGGAGTTCCATTTGCATGGTTAGTTTGTCACTCTTTCTGACACTTTACTACCTCTGAAGACCCTTATATGGATGCTTGGTCACAATGATTTGAATATTATCCTTTTTGGGCTTCCCTTTTAAACATATGTAATCATCAACAATATATGACACTCAAGTAGTTTTTTAGGTCCTTTTTCTCAAGAGCAGTTCTTCAATCTAATAAGTAATATTGTATTGCAGGAAAGGGACAACCTGTTATGGATTGGCCTACAAGGCTGAAGATTGCTATTGGTTCTGCAAAAGGATTGGCATATCTGCACGAGGACTGTAAGCCTTTCTTCTTACCAACCCCTGGCTGTACCCATTAATTATCTGATTTTTTTTGAACTACTATCTGAATATGTGCTTACATCTGCAGGTCATCCTAAAATAATTCATAGGGATATTAAAGCAGCTAATATCCTTCTGGATTTCAAGTTTGAGGCATTGGTAAGCTTATAATTGGTTACTAGGGTTTAGTCTTCACTCCATGTTAATTTTTTATTTTCTTGCCTTAGATGATGTTGTTCCTTTATTTTAGAAGGGCAAGAAGGTTTTGCCAATGACTCAATGTCATTGCCTTAATGATAAATAGACCTTGACTTGTTTCTGTATAAGATAAAACTGACTTCATTCTAAAGCTAGTCAGCTACTCAGGCTCCTCTTAGATTTATTGATTTTTTTTTTTCCCCTCATTCAGGTTGCTGATTTTGGACTGGCAAAGTTTACTTCTGATGCTAATACTCATGTATCCACCCGAGTTATGGGAACTTTTGGGTAATGGCTAACGTTTTATCAATTTTTGTATAATTTCTTTGTCTGATTGTTATCTAGTTGATATAAGTGATTTGTTGGTCTTTTATTACCTAATGTTAATTTACTGAGGTTGGGTTTAGGTGACTTGATCATATCATTCTAATGTTTACTTGAGTGTGATCTTTTTGTACATTGTTTGATTAGAGTGAACAGTGTAACAATAGGAGGAACCTAACATAGTGGCTTCATTTTCTTTTCTCTTTAATACGTGTAGGTACCTGGCTCCAGAGTATGCTAACTCAGGAAAGCTCACTGAGAAGAGTGATGTTTTCTCTTTCGGAGTATTGCTCTTGGAATTAATTACAGGTCGCCGCCCAGTTGACTACTCATCAAATTCTGAGATGGAGGACAGCTTGGTGGACTGGGTAATATTCAATATACATATCTGGAAACAGATTCATCATACCTAGCAACATGATCATTAGAAAGCTAAACTCATTTTATTTCCATTACAGTCTAGACCACTACTTTCAAAAGCTGTGCAAGATGGAAACTTTGATCCATTAGTTGATTCACGGCTAGGAAACAATTATGACTATGAAGAAATGGGCTCCATGATTACTTGTGCTGCTTCTTGTGTACGTCATTCTGCAAAACGCAGACCACGAATGAGCCAGGTAACATTTTACTATGTAACTCTAGGATATTCTCAACAAATGTAAATAGGCTATTCGGTTTACTTTGAAGTCCAATTAAAGGTGCTTTAATGGATTAGATTAACAGTATCCAACTGAATTAAAAGAGATGAAATAATTAACCATGTATCTAATTATTTGTGTGCTTGATATTTTATGGATTTGACTTGTGAGCAAAAGAGAGACAATATATAGAAGCAACATTACTCCAAATAATTGTTTTTCAAAGACTGTCCTGAAGAAGGGATATCTTGATACTAGAGTGACTTCTATTATGTGAGATGATGGGGAGGGATGCTAGCTGAGAGACTCTCACCTCCATAAAACTGTGTTGCCATTTGAAGTAGACCTCTATGTTCTGTCATAATTTGACGGTTTCATATATTTCTTTTGAGAACAATATGCTTTAAGGTGCAATTAAAAACGTTGGCGCAGAACAATGATTGTTTTGATAGTGTAGATAGCGGGCACCAATAATTTAAAAAAAATAAGGAATTTGCTTTCCTGAATTTGAAGTCGGTGGAAGGTTTATATATATTAATCATTCCAACGCTATTGTATAATAAGTCAGTTTAACAAAGATGTTTTCAAGGCCATGTTCCTTTCACCGGAAATTTTCACAAATACTCTTTAACTTATTGAACTTACTGGTTTCATCAGCAGTCATCAATTATGTTCAAAATTTTCCTAAAAATAAGTAATATAATAAAGTATACTTCACTTGAACAAAAGTCTAATCGTCATGAAGTGCAACTTTCTTGAATCAACTGAATTTGAGTGCTCTTAATATGTATAAAGCAATCACTACTCCCAAGTTCCAAGATTTGATCAACTTCTGCGAACCACATTGGAGTTTTGTCTTTCATATTGCCACATTAATTGGAGCTTTCTCTTTCATATTGCCACATTGGAGTTTTTCTCTTACCAGAAATGCACTCCTCATTTTGCTAACTTTAATAGGTATGCTGTTCCTCATGCTGCCTTATCAATAGATTCTCATGGTGTTCATTATGTCATTTTTGAACAGGTTGTTCGAGCACTTGAAGGAAATCTCTCACTATCTGATCTCAATGACGGTGTTAAGCCAGGATTTAGCTCATCTCTTGATTCTGCTGACATGGATAGTGGAGTAGAAGATGATAAGAAGTTCAGGAAGCTGGTATATCTAAGTGAAGAGTATGGTACTAACGAGTTTAATAGGACACGAAGTGAGTTCAGTGATGGTGGAATATCAAGCAGTGAGATGCAGCGTCATTCAAAAAGACATGCCTGAATGGAGGTTACTGACCACTTTTATCCTGAGAGATTTTTTTTAACATGATTTTGATTCGAATACGAGTATATATATTTTTTTTCCAACTTGCCCCATTGGCCATTGATGTATCTATCTATTTGTTTATTTATTCAACCTGTAATTTGTACTTACTATTGCCCACCATGAAAATTCATGGACAATGCCGGGCAGCTTCTGTTTAGTGATGAATTTAACATGAATTTGGAGTCCCAAGATTTTACTAAATGAAATTACCCTAATCTCATAGTTTGAGTTTGTATTAATGAGTGTGAAATACCATATGTAGATCCTGATTTGGTAAATTCACAGTCCAGTATTAAGCCCCTATTTCGTTCCAGAGTTGATTCCTAACTTTGTTTATTCTTTGAAATGATCATTTCATTCATGCCTTGATACTAATTAATCAATCTAACAAGAACTAAAGGTTTAAAGATGAATTACTAACCAAAAAAAAGCTGGAGTATTAGTCAGTTCAAGTAGAACCTAATTACCCAATATCTAAACTAAGAAATAAATTTAAATTATAACTACTTCATCCTCCTCGTACATTACGAGTCACCTTCAATAGCTTCAAATCCCGAGTACTATACTTCCGAATGTATCATATATTCATCTTTGCCAAATAAGCGAATGACAATGAATATACCTCGGAATTTCGACTCTTGCATTACTTCCTATGATCAATCAAACAAATTAGTGAACTTCCTAAGAAATTCTTATATTCGATTGACTTGAGCTTGATTGTTAGGTAAGGGCCCACATCAGTAGAAGGAGGGTTTTTCGACTCTGATGGATTGGTAAAAAGTTGAAAGGATCAAGCAGCCATAGAAGCAAATTGACAAAACTGTAAGGCAGTCAAATTAATTGGAAGGTAAGTTTTATTTGTTCTGTTTTCAATCATCTTAACAAATACGGAGTACTATCTAATATCCTAGAGCTCACTATGAAATTTGATTATTTTGTTAATGCTTTTCATCGATTATGATATTGGTAGATAGGTGTAAATAAATTAAACTTCCACATTTTGGATATAGTAGGAAAACATGTATGATTTGCAATCATATATAATTCATATTAACTTGGAATGTCAGAAAAAACTTTAGTAGTAATCATGATTATGATGGGTTTAGGCAATGTGACAATTAAAATATGATTGCAATCATATTTCAATGTGGGTATCTCTATGAGTCTATTCAACTATTCAAGTCCCTTGGCAATAACCTCTCACTTACCAATTGAGGAATGTTCAATGGCCCTAGTTGTTGTTGTTGTCGTCGTCTTCGTCGTCGTTCTGGTTAGTTGTTGCTTTATAATATTAGTAAATCGTCTAGTTGATGAACATAGTTAGTGCTTTAATAATGCATCTTGTATTGTTTAATAAGTCAAACTGCCCTATGGCAAATAGAATCTTTACTTAATCAACTCTATACCAGATTGAAAAGGGGTATTTGTAATCTTTCTGAATTAATTTATGCTGTTGGTAGAGGTTGATTATGTTGCTTTGACATATTGTACGGAGTACAAGATATGAAATGCATGAATGGAGAGTTGGAGACCACGAATTCCGGATATCACATAGCTGACGAGTAACACATTGTCCTTTCCTCAATACATGATGTTTTGACTTTTTGCAGTTCATATACTCTGTACTACATTAAAATTGATTGCTTTATTTTACTATATACTTTGTATTGATAATTGATGTTATGTATATATGCTGTTTGATTAATCTCAATTGTATTCTCAAAATTTATAAATTTTTTGTACTTCATGTATAATGTAATGATATTAATAGCCAAAGTAATGCATTAGAAAACGTGAAAGTTAAAACATTACATGTATGAACAACAGAGGAAGTACTCCGTATATAGCAAGTTGAATAACTGATTTCTTTTCACTTCCTCTGAACATTATACTTTGTATATGCTTTTTAGCCAGAATACACAGTTGAATAATTTGACTTGATTGTACAGCTGATGGTTGGAAAAAGACCAAGTACACCATACCTCCAGATCATTAACAGCAATTAGCCGAAGTAAACCATCAACTTGCTCCTAATTAATTCGTAGGATGATGATATTTTATAATGAGTTTGAGTTTGGATTAGTGAATTTTGCCTATAGTTTGTTTACTTGTGATTGTGCACCTATAAAAACTGAATTTTTGATGTCTATTTTAAGATTATTTACATTGACTTCTTCATTCCTTGCATACATGACTTGCTATTAGTGTGTCGACTACTTGGTCTTGGTTTGACATTCAAAGTTTTGCATTACATCATAGCCAAACATGCCCTCATTATACCATTCAAGGCAACAACGGTTGAATCTCATCATCTTTGAGCACATCTATCTGAAGTTAAACCTACAAAATTGAATTATCCACACATTCTATTCTTAGCCTCTATTTCTTCTGTTCTGGTTCTCGATTTTCAGATTATTGCTCTGTTACATTAGGATTAGAGACGATCAGGCTATACTTTCTCTATAGATTTAAAGTTTTGCTTCTTTAGAGGTCATTATGAGCATTAACATTCTAGGAGCAAATATATCTACTGTAGTTGTAGCATGTATTGCTGTAGGACTTTTAATAGTACTGATACTCTTGATTTGGTTGTGCTGCGTGCTCTGTCGGGGAAAAGGTGGAGATAGGAGGAGGAGACCGACTCACAGTATCTCTGTAGAAAATCCTCCTGGAGCTATTAGAGGTATATATAACCCTATCCTGCAGAATTTAGTATTTTGTTTTATCTTGGTGTTTGTATATATGATCCTGCCCTTGTTTTTTTTTACATAAATGAATGGGTTTTATGCTTTTATCTGAATGATGATTTGGATAATTTATGCTTAGGAATTAAGTAAAATGAATACAAGTGCTTAAGAAATGCCACAGTTTCTTAGAATTTACACATTCATGGTATTTAGGAATTCCATTAGATATGATGATATTTAGTCAATATATATGAAGTGAAAAAAACCATTTAAATCTTTTACTCTCTGTCTTCTGTGTTTATCATTTTACCAAAACATGTAATAATCCTTTTGTCATTAGATTTTGTAAAAGCCTAAATAGATGAAATGCTTGTTAGGTAACCAGCAGCATGTTGAACCAGCTCAACAACGGCAGCAACACCATAATCCACCTAGAAGGGCTGAACATCATAAGGATTTATATACTCCTCCCGCTTCAGCTGTATCACATATCCCTTCACAGTCTTCTATGGGAAGCAATGGCAACAACCCATTGCCTCCACAACCATCTCGGCGTTCTCCAGCAGCTCAAGTTCCAGCTTACTCGAACTCAGGGCAGTCCAATTTATCTGGCAGTGGAAGCTTAATCCCACCTCCATCTCCAGCTTTATCATATGCCTCTTCACAGACCATGTTTACTTACAATGATCTTGCAATGGCAACAAATAGCTTCTCAGAAGATAATTACTTGGGAGAAGGTGGTTTTGGGTCTGTTCACAAAGGACTTCTTCCTACTGGGAAAGCAATTGCTGTTAAGTCTCTTAGATCTAATAGTGGTCAAGGAGAGCGTGAATTCGCGGCAGAAGTTGAAATCATTAGCCGAGTGCATCACAGGCATCTTGTTAACTTAGTGGGTTTCTGCATCACTGGCTCGAAAAGATTTCTTGTTTATGAATTTGTTACGAACAAGACTCTGGAGTTCCACCTTCATGGTTAGATCATGTTTACCTTTACTTAATCATTGTTTTAATTTTGTTAATTTTTCAAGAATGTATCTATTCTGGTTCCATCTGATGGAATAATCATGTTGCAGGTAAGGATCAGCCTACAATGGATTGGCCCACGAGACTAAAGGTAGCTGTGGGGGCTGCAAAAGGATTAGCATATCTGCATGAAGATTGTAAGTACTCTTTAACTGCTGTCATTATGACTTCAAGGCCAGGAACCAATTTTGGTGATTTCCTGATACATGTGTATGGGTGTGAATCTAATGCATGTTCCGGTCACTATAATGTAGGCCAACCAAGAATTATACATCGTGATATTAAAGCTGCTAATATACTCATAGACAACAAATATCAAGCCAAGGTGACTTTCTGATCATGTTTGATTATTGTTGCTATTGATTTATTGATTTGTTCATAGTATTCATCATTTTTCTCCCTTCCCAACTCTTTAATATCTATTGGAGTATATGAGATCTTTTAATATGTTAGAAATCATTTTCTACAATGTAAATGTCAAGCTTGTGTTTTGCAGGTTGCAGATTTTGGACTTGCAAAGCTTACACCTGAAGAATATACACATGTTACCACTCGAGTTATGGGAACCTTGGGGTAAAAAAATCTGATCCCTTCTTCATGGTCTATTGTACTATATGTATTTCATCCAAAGATATATTCAAATCTAATAAACTAATAAAGTATTAATTTAACACTCATTATGCTGATGTTTCACTCTATATCATGCTTACAGATACTTGGCTCCAGAGTATGCTTCATCTGGGAGACTCACGGAGAAGTCTGATGTTTATTCCTTCGGTGTCATGCTTCTGGAATTGATTACTGGACGTAGACCAGTTGACAAAACACAAAAGCAGTATAATCTAGTGGAATGGGTAAAGTTTTTTTCTTTCACGGTTCCACCTCTTATCTATATACTGTATGATTTTATACAACTTCAAGAAATCATAATAGTTCTAGATTATACATTTGGATTCAATCAAGCTGAGAAGCTACAGCTTAAAAGATTCTCAGAAAAGTAAATAAATTAGCATTCTGCTGGCTTTTTGCAGGCGAGACCTTTACTCACAACTGCTATGGAGGATGAGAACTTCAATCAACTTGTTGATCCACGCTTGCAATTTAGTTACAAGCATAGTGAGATGGCTCGTATGTTGACTTGTGCTGGTACATGTGTTCGAAAGTCAGCACGTAGTAGACCACTGATGAGTCAGGTACTCAACTCACATGCATGATTGAAAATGTATAAAATCAGAAGGCAATCTGAAGCTCATTCTTCTTATCTAACTGAACAGATAATAATAGGATATTAGTTCCCCTGTCAATCTGTTTCAATGAGCACATTCTTCATATTTTACTGATCAGATAATAAGAAGGCATACTATGGGCTTATGCATCTGTTTTCCCTTTGATTACAAATATGCCAACTTATCTGTCTTGTTTTTCTGATGCTGTTCTTGAACTATGGAAATGAGCAGGTAGTTCGCGCTCTTGAAGGGAATTTGTCCCTTACTGATTTAACTGAAGGAATAACACCTGGCCGTAGTATGCTCCATAGATATGAAACTGCTTCAGAAAATAGTGGTAGTCAATACAAGAAAGGTTCCAAAGGGGACTCAACAGAATTTGTTAGCAGTGAGTATGATGGAACAACAAGCGAGTATGGATTGTATGTGACTGGTTCAAGTAGCGAAGAACAGACTACTCGAGAATTGGATACTGAAGAGGAGCAGAGAAATAAGGCACATGTTAAGTAACTCCGTATTATTGATCTTAAATTCCTCGAGCTGATTCTAGCTTGCAAATCAATTACTACAAAGGATGACTTAAAGAAATCAATTTTGCAGTCGCGTTATTAAGTTCACTGATGGTATGTTCAGGTGCTGTTGAAGAAATTTTCCAAGTATTCACATTTTATTAAGTTGCATATGCTGGATTGAGAGAGATGAGGCTGGTTATGTTAAGAAAAAAAGAAAAAAAGATCCTATTACCCGATGTCTAATACAATTTCATGCTAGCCATACTCATCATGTGTGAGTTGGACTGCTGACCATTTCATATTCTTTAATTGTAAAAAAATGTTTTCCCCAATTGTAACTATTTTTGTTCATTGAGAATTATTATAGAAAATTGATTTTATTTTTTTTCCTTGTTGATTTGTTTTATTGTTAATATGAATATTCTAAGTAAATGTTGGAGTTTTTGCTTTATAATATTTAAATTAGGAAATTGATTTTGAACTTCAAATATGGATAGAGGAAGTTTTGCATTTATTACATTTGGAAAAAATATTGATAAAGACTTTACATGTGGACACAGAAAGCATGAATACAAGAATAAGACATAAAGACAACTTATCTGTATAAACATCTATTTTTGACAATTAAGGGTCAGGTCTTGGTTTGACAGAGGGTAAAGGGAAGGGAAGGGTTACTTCAGGCAACAAGGCCTCGCCAAGGCAACACAAAGGCAAAGGCATCTTAAGACATGATAACGAGAGGTGGCCCAATGCATTAATGAGATGGTTTTGGGTACCAATTAGGCATCTCGTGGCTTTTGGACCCCACGAGTCTTTGAGAGGCCATTTGGGTGGTTGAAATCATTTACTCCGCCTTTAAAATGTCATATACTTTGTAATTAGTTACATATGTTCCTCCTTCTATCAACTCAAAGCCACTATGTGACCAACTAGTGGTTGTACATGGTTTCAAACAAACATTTTATGAGTAATATGACCCTAGTAATGTATACTTTTGGTGCTGAAAAACTATAAAAGCTATGCTTTAGTCCAATTGATTACCTTCATTTAATTATAGTTTTTTAATATTATGGTTCATTTGAAAAAACTTTAATGACAATTAGTAATTGTATATAAATATTAAATAAATAAAAAGTCAAAGTATATTAAATGGAGAGTACGCCAAAAAAATAGAGAAAATGTACTGTAGTAATATAAAGGCTATGCGTTAGTCCATTTGATTTAATCTAGTTTGAATAAACTTAAGAAATGATAATCTCATGTCTTAGATACCAAATTACCAATCCCAAACTTTAATTCTTGTACACTAATCTATAAAATAAAATATCATCTGGGTACTCGAAAACAATATAGTCCATTCTAATCATTTCTGAAATAAGCAAATACGAGTACAAGTATGTATTAGACTTTTAAATACGGATTTAAACATGTACTCCGTAAAAAGACTAGTCGCTAAGCAGCAAAATTACAGCTGCAAATTGCAATAGTTCCTGTAACAAGACAACGAATCCCTTAGCTTGCATATTCCTTTTCTTCGTCTACTTCCTTCTTCCTCAATACCCCCAATTTCCCCTTTTTTCTCTCTCCTCCTTTCTAACAGAAAATCAAAAAGGGGTTCACTCAAATCCAAGGTCAATGGCATCGCGTCGTCGAAAGCTCCTCAAAATCATCATCCTTGGTGATAGTGGGTAATTTTAATTCTCTTTCTCTGTCCTTGATTTTTACTTACTTTTGGAATTTGATGAATTTTCATGGATTGATTTTAAATTTTTAATCTTTTTGAATGTTTGATGATGATTTTACAGAGTTGGGAAGACTTCACTTATGAATCAGTATCCTTTGAATTGAAATATGCTTTCCTCAATTTTTTTTTTTTTTTTTTTTTTTACCATTTTTTTTTGTGCCATTTTTTGCAAATTCTAGTGATTACCCTTTTTGATTTGGTTTTATTGCATGCCCCATTTTCTAAATTTAATGCTGACCTTTCTTAATCAATTTTGTGGCATGTGTTTTTAATGTATAATAGTTGGAATTGGAAATTTGGGGTTTTGCCTTAAATTTGATAAAATTCAGATTTGTTAATAAGAAGTTCAGTAATCAGTATAAAGCAACAATTGGAGCTGATTTCTTGACTAAAGAACTCCAATTTGAAGATAGGCTTTTCACATTGCAGGTATGAATTTATGATCGTGTTTATGACTCTTCCTTTACCCGGTTTGCATTCGTTAATTACTTCGATTATGCTAGTGAATTTGCCTTTAATTGCTGTGGTAGGTTAAATGCATGTTTAGTGTTGAGATCCCTTAGAATTTGGGAATTTGGTTAGATTCTATCAGAAGAAGTGTCATTATATGAAGCCGGAAGCTTTATAATCTGCTCCTCACTCGCCTGACTTTGTAGATTATTTCAAATTTTAGGGATACATGATGCATGTTTCAAAGCACGGGGGTACCTTGTGCATTTTTCGGTACCTTTTCTTCCTAAATAAAAAAAATAAATTTAAATTGAGGAAGTTTCCTTGCCTTCAATTCAGAGTGCAAAGATGATAAGTTTATGCAGCTTGTTTATTGATGTATGAGCATGTCTGCCTCCATTGGCATGAAGAAGTTGGGACTTAGGGTATCCCAAAATCATGTTATGTGTTCGATTCTACAGAAATCTGAATACATTCTGAAGGATGTGAGCCAATGGCTCGAATACTAATTATTCAACAGACTGCATCTGTGGTCTTTATGTTGTCATCCGTCTTTCATTTCTGTCTCGTGGACCTAGAGTAGACACTTGTTCTCCTAACCCCACTCATATGGTGATGGAAACAAGTTACTGCATCCCTCATAACCATTGTGTTGGGTTTTTATGATAAGCTACATTTGGAGGGAATGATTGTGTTGTGCTTACTAAGTTTCACCCATCAAATGTAGCTTTATAGCTGTGCAGAAACCTCCTTTTGGATCATTTAGATATTTAAAATAAGAGATTCTCTCTATGCTTTTTCTCGTTCTTATATCTAGATATTGATCCAATGATCCTTTTCTTATCATATTGGTGAATTGTGATCACTTTGTTCTACCTATGGCATTGAGCAAGATAAAAATGACCTTACACTGTCACCCTGTATCCATGGATTGAATGTACTAAAGGGGTTTAGAGCTCTGATTAGCATATTTATGATGCGGCTTCTGCTAAATAGGATGAGATAATGAAATTTAACTTAAAACAGTTGACGGTAGAGACTTTGTTGTTGATATATATTTTTTTCAGACGCATAACGCCATAACGGTAGCTTACCTATCAGCAAGCTTGTGATGTACCCTCTGTAAAACAAAGAACATATGGAAAATGGTAGAGAAAGATGGTCTAAAAATGTTGTAATTCATGTATCCTGTGTATCCATCTCATCAGAGTCTGCTTACAACAGCTGTTTGCTTGTTGTCTGTTCTATACTGAAAAATTTGTCCCGCGATACTCTAAACTAAGGTGAATGTTGTTTGGCCGAATTGCAGATTTGGGATACAGCTGGACAGGAAAGGTTTCAGAGTCTAGGTGTTGCTTTTTACCGTGGTGCAGATTGTTGTGTTCTTACTTATGATGTTAATGTCACGAAGTCTTTTGAGAACCTCAATCGGTGGAGGGAGGAGTTTTTATTGCAGGTAAGTGTTCTTTCAAGTTTTTCCTAAATACTTGAATACTTCAAGGGAGGTAACTACACTGAGTTTTACTCTTTTTGTGTGATAGGCAAGCCCAAGTGATCCAGATAACTTCCCATTTATTTTGCTGGGGAACAAGATAGATGTTGATGGTGGAAGCGGCAGAGTGGTAAATTTTCTTAAATCTTAAAAATAAATGGCTTTTCTGCAATTTGAGATTTTGGACATTATAATGAATCATTTCTTATGATGATAATGTACATCAAGTTGAACTAGTCTAAAGTCTTTGGGTCAATGCAAAAGGAGTTAATACTTGTTTCTTGTATGCTGTTCCTACCCTTATTTTTTTTGGTCACTAAATAAATTGCTGTCTTCATTGCCATTAATCATATGAGCTCGTGTATATCTCCAAATAAAACAGGTCTCAGAAAAGAAGGCAAAAGCTTGGTGCATGAGCAAGGGGAATATTCCTTATTTCGAAACCTCAGCCAAAGATGGTACAAATGTTGAAGAGGCTTTCATGTGCATAGCTAAAAATGCCATAAAGAATGAACCTGAAGAAGAAATGTGAGTTTCCATTAAATGATTTTCCTTTTGGCTTGTATTGTCTGATTATGGTTTTTTTTTTTTTTTTTTTTTTTTTTCCTTTTTCTTTTGACATAATGTCTGATTATGTTTGAGCATGGAAACGGACCACTCCCTTCGTCCCTATATGGATTTCTTTTATGGGTGTCCTTGAAAGAATGCTCCATTTCCTTGATAGCCATGTGACCCCATCTACTTACTCTTATCAATGGTATATGGTTCCACTAATTTACCTTTTTATCAGCTCCACCCAACCAAACCATGTTAAATGTATTTGGAGCATATATTTTATCGATGGAGGGAGCATTTATTCAGTTCCACACTCCATTTTGATGAACCCTTGAACATCTTTAAATTTATTTCTTTCCATTGTTACACCTATATATTACTTCAAAGGGATTCTAATTGTTTGATCCATTAATCATGTTATAGGTATGTTCCCGACACCATTGATATGACGAACAGAGCACAATCTCAAAGTTCTTCAGCCTGTGAATGTTAAGAATCTGTTGCCGTGTAAAAGAACTGCCTTAAATCCTTAATTGTTCCATTGTTTTACAATATTGACAAGTTTGCCTGTGAATGTACACACATCATAATGGAGAATCAAGGAGGAATTGGATGATCAACGTGTACCTGTTTTCTCATTATAACTAATAATTCTTTGTCGTTTGATGTTAATTGTGGAGATATATCCTGGTTGCATTGGGATCATGTTTATGTTCACACCAAAGTTATTCCAACTGCAAACAATGGCAAAGTCTTGATCTAAGGTCTTAATTTTTCTACTCCGTATAATATAATTGTACAGAGTTTCCTTAATTTACTTGCTTTCCTTGATTCTTGTTAAGGCATGAAGAGGTTTATAGCAAAAAGTTTCTGGTGATACTAGGAGTACTACTTACTCACCTATTCAAAATCCATATTCCTTGAATCAATGTAGCCTGCACGGCTGCGCGCACCATATATTACATTAATATCTGGCGAAATCGAGCAACTGCATACAAATTTAACTAGTTGCTGACAATTACAGTTGGACAAAAATACATTCTAACTCGCGTTTTTTTAGAGAGCCTACAATGTACGATGTACCATAAGTTGAATCTTTATATGTGACTGCAGATACTGAGTTACTGTGTAGAAACTTAACTACCAACATACAGTAACAGTACAACAAAGATCTTTTTACTTGTGTAATCTTTGCAGCCTACAATGTATTTAAGTTGGATCTACCCAAAAGCTTTAAGAGTAAGAAAAAGACTAATCTAAATTTCAGTTTCAAATACAGATCCTAAAAACTAATTCTGCTTCAATCTTAAGAACTACGATCTTTGCTACAAAACTTTTCCGCCAATTATATTACACATTTGGATATCTACCAGAGCTTGAACCTTTCCTCCGTCGCCGCCGCTTTTGTCGGATTCGCCAAAAGCTCAAAAATAGCAAAAATCCTACCAAAAACACATAAATAATAAGACGTCCACAGGTTGTAATTAAATTTAGGGTTGAAAACTAGACATGCAAGATTCAATCAGATGTAAAAACCTCGAACATGTTGACTACTGGATGAGACCACAAAACCATATCGCAAAATAACTAAATAAAGTTGGAAGGAGATTAGGGTGGCAAAATTAGAATAATGTTTTCAGAGATGAATAAATTATCATGACATAAAAGAAATTTCATCAAGAATACAATACTAACCAGAAGTGGCGATTATTGCAGGTACAAGCCAATGACTAGCAACCAGCACAGGCATGTCAAGCTGTATGAATTATCAAAAAAATCATATATGAGGTACTAAATAGCTTATGTAACAGCATATAATTTGCAGCATCAGTTCCTTACCTCATCCGTGTAAAAGAGGCCAAAATACTTGTTACTTAATGAATCGCCAGTTTTCTGGGGAACTATACGATGAATTTTCAGACCTGAGCCCTCAAAACTGGAATTTGAACTTCTGCCCATATCAACAGCATGGTAACCGGGAAGTATTCTGTTTCTTCCCCTAACTTGCATATTGTAACCTTTCGTTCCTACCACTTCAAACCTGGAGTCAGTCCGGCACATCAATTCCTTCCCCATGACAGCGGAATAGGCTGAGAAATTCACGTCAGTCCTTCGTGACGGCAACTGCTTATCATCTATATACAAGGATGCACCCTGTCTAACAGAATCTGAGAAAAGAATTGGATCCCTGATATTACTACTGGTGAACTCTACTATTTTTTTAAGCAGCCAAAAGCAATTAGTAACCATATGGCTACTGTCAAGACAATTTGAATCTCCATAAACTGATATCCGGCCTTCACCAGCCTCCAGAAAACCAAGAATAGGTGAATTTTCCTACAAGAATCAAGATAAAGAAGTTAGCAAGATAGACCTAATTGACATGTCAAAGGAGCTTAAACTATTAGCAAGTGAACCCAGTCAACCAGCCAGCAAACGAGAAAATCATCCCACTCACCAAAATGGGAAAATATAAAAGGATCGTTTGATTTAGGCATTTCCATATATTTTTTTTCTTGAAAGGAAAGACTAAAAGGTCAATGTTAAATTTTGAATGATAAAGAATGTGGGCACTGGGCAGTCTTTCCCAACCCCTGATCCATTGGCAAAATAAAAACTACTCCAATAAATAAAAATAAGCTATCAACATGACAACATCTAAGCATATATTATTAGCGGTTTCTTGGGAAAAAAAAAATTAACTAGTTGAATGATTATAAAAAATAGGATTTCGATTACCTTCATCAGACCGGATGATAGCACATTCTGAGTAGCTCCCCCATCTGACCTATCTATGAAAGGAAAACTGTGAACATATCCGCCAGCTGGAAACTTTAGTATGTTGGTTCCTGATGCATACCGACTTTGTTCACCATTAATCGAAAAATCACCATTAAGGATCTTATCACCAAATGCAATCCCAAATGGGGCCAAAAGGTCATTCAGTGCAGGAACATTTGCACCACCAGTAACAGGGGTCCACCAGCTCCTTGTGTTATCATCAAAAAATCTCATTTTAACCATTGTCTCAACATTATACCACTCAGCAAACACAGCCAAGCCCAATCCAGTGTTCAGAATATCTTCCCTCAACTTAATTATCTCTTCTTCAAAGTATTCATCTTCAAGATCAACAAGCAGGAGGGTCCCATACTGGCGAGCATCAAAACATGTAAGTGGAGAACCAAGGGTCTCAACATAGTATCCTGCATCACTCAACATGTTGAACATAGTATGGAAATTTGTGTGGGGGTGATCCCCATGCCAATCTAGGATATCATTGCGGACATCCAACGAATCTCTAGGTATATAGCCAGGTGGATATTTGATGTTGTGAAATTGATCCCACAGGATCCTTTTGGATCTTGCAGGAGTTGGAACAACTTTCAATCTCAACCTGAGAACACATATGCTAGTTCGTACTTCTTTCTCACCTTGAACAGGTGGACTTCGGATCTTAACAGTCACGTTACCTTCAATCACTCCATGAAACTGTGCACCTTCTTCCTTAATCTGGACATGGAGAGCCAAATAGCCAGTCCATGGCCATACAACCTCTGAATATGTAAAATGGATGCTAAGCAGATTGCCTTCCTCGTTAAATGGATGCCAGTTTGGTGACTCATAAACATAGCCAATCACTCCCATACCATTCAAAATAGTAGCATTAAATATAACAGGCATAGCACCAGCATAGAGAGGTTGACGACAAAAAGGCCATGAATAAGGGCAATCCATAAAGTCCAGCACACTAGGAAAGATGCTTGCCCGTGGTTTGTAATTCTTTAAGATTTCATATGATTCTAACCTGACACCATAATCAGCAATTGATTGCAATTGTACAAAGAAAGGAGTCAGCATTTGTGAAAACAAAGTTAGTGTATTTGTTAGACCGTGAATTGAGAAGTATGCACAAATTAACTCACAGGTCAACTCTCCCAGCACCTTGTTCATACATATTAGGACCAGAGAGCCTCGCAGCTCCTTCAACCAGTGCTTGCTTCATGCTAGCAGGATTCAGGGTGCGTTTTCTGTTGCTCTCTGGAATGATACTGACTAGCAAGCACACCACTCCAGCAACCACGGGACTTGCAACACTTGTGCCTGACAAAGGTTTGCACCCTGTACTGATTTTTGATCCCAGGATGTCACGTCCATAAGCGACAACATCTGGCTTCACACGGCCATATCTGAGCAAAAATGATCACATATGAATCCACAACTCAATATAGAATATCAAGTACACTGTATGCACAATTTGCTGAAAAGATGATTAAGGTCTCTTCCATTGCTATTAACTATATAGCTGCATAGCTAAACATTACAAAGATGTACTTATATTATAAGAAAAAAATTATACAATAATCAATAAAACTATTACCCATGTGGAATCTCCCATGTGCTCATGCCACGTGAAGAAAATGATGCAATGTGATCAGTATAGTCTATACCACCAACTCCAATGACATCACTTTGATCAGCTGGGTTGTTCAGTGTACCATAGAGTGGTCCATCATTTCCAATTGCAGACACCATGATTATGTTGTTAGCTGTTAGTTCCCAAACCTAAACAATATGAAAAAGTTTCCAAAGCCTCAGTTATCTTCCAACAGTATACAAGAACCACTTAGCATCAAAACATGTATGAAGTAAGGGTTACAAGAAACATTCATCAAAACCTAAACACTATAATTAAATAATACATTCATTCTCAGGTTCTTCCCTTTCCCCCACCCCCATTCCTTCACTTGTGAATTTTACCCATAGTTGTTTATATAGTAGTATCTTCCTTTTTATTAAAATGATAACTCTACACTGTGTACATGTTATATAATGAATCAACCAAATCAACATTCACGGACCTTAAGGAAAATATATCATTTTTAGGCGAGTAAGCCATAGGAAGCCTTATGATCACTATACAACAGACATGAAGCTTTTTAAAGGGAAGGCATCAGATAAAATAGCCTACTTTCCAGCATTACTATGAGACTATCAATTGTCTCCGCGATAGAGATGTTATCAACGATTCTAGTCCAATCAAAGCAAAGATATAACCAATAGTAGCACTGGAAAGGGTTATTAAGCATCATGTAAAAGAACTAATTTAAATATGCCACCACTTAACCATCAGCAATTGAGATGCTAATATGCTATAATAAGGTACATAAATTAAATTTAGACACCTTAAATAACAAGGGCATATAGAAGCAAGTAAAAAATAATGGTGTATCAAATCAATTTTCCAATTGTGAAAGCTAAAAGGAAATGTTGTATCATGTAAGTCGCAACATAAAAAGTAATATATATACACTAAAAATGGGAGGTGAAAATTTGAATCACTTAGTAACAACCCCCCCCCCCCCCCCAAAACAAAACTCCTGTTCTGTAGACGAATATGCACTTATATATAAGATTTTGATACTGCAATAAGATACCACAATTTATGTGAAAAAAATCCGTCAACCAACATACCTTCTCCACAAATGGAAGGTCCAAGTGATCAGGACCACCAATACTCAAATTTAGCACATCCATATTAGTTGCAATGGCATAGTTGAATGCATCAAGGAACCATGATGTGTATGACACCTGCAATAAGCTGAATAAAAGATTATCACAAAATTGCTGATAACATGCTACTTGAAGTGAACATTCCAGAGGGGAAGAATATAAAAAGAGAGATGTAATTAGTATGATTTTAAAAAAGTTCCATCTTTAGTCAGCTTATTATCAATTGACTC